TTTCATTGAGGCAAAGGAGGTTTGTCATGCTCAATGAAGATGTATGAAGTTGAAGATGAAGGAGTTGGGATTGCATAATGAGGAGACATATAATTAAACATAGCTTTTGGAAGAACTCTGTTGCCAGCAAAACTAAGTTGAAGGCCATCTTGTGCATAAAGTGATGTGAGAACTGAAGGAGGGGAAGAATCTGAAAAAGAGCCGAACTCCCGTGCAGTGATATATCACTGCGGCGGGCAGGTATCTCACCGTAGGCATGGTAACTTCGTAATAAACAACTGACGTGATTGGTTCTAGTCCCATGCTCAGGTCGCGTGATTGTAAAATTTAGACAATTCCATTGGTTGAATTGCGCGTATATTAACTGATAAACAACATGTGCGGTAAACTATTATCAACAAAACTTTTACTCAGAATTCCTTCCGCGATGATTTCTTCTCATATTTCAATAATTTTGAAATATTTTGACAAAACAATGTTTGGGGAACATTCATGAATACATATTTTATAAGTTGTGTGAAAATTGACCACATATGCGATGAAAAAGGGAACTATTTTCCCCAAATTTTGGGGATTTGCTTCATCTGCCCGCCGCAGTGTCTATACCGAGACACTGCATTGGAGTTCGAAAAAGAGCCTGAATTAAAGAAAAAAAACATCTGGTGAAGAGTCTGCCACATTCTGAAAAAAGTCAACATTTGCAAAATCAATCCTAGGAAGAACTGAAGAAGGAATAATGTCTGAGGAAGGGGATTTTTCTTTGATAAATCTAATGTTCTCATAAAGGGCATCTGAACAAGATGAAGAAGGTTTCCAATGTCCACAAAATAACTTGTTAAACTTAATCATGCTTTAATCATCAGATGTAATCTTTTTCCTTTAACCTTATCATGCTATTACAATTTTTTTGTGACCTCTATTTTCTATCAACAATCTAGTCATGAATTTTCTGTAATATTAGCTTTTCTTTTCCCTAGTAGAGAGGCATTTCAATGTTTTTTCCTGGTCATGACTCCCTTTTCTTCATTTTGGCATGGCTCGACTTTCTTTTTTTCTTTTTTTTTATTGTAAAATCTATTTATTTCTTAACATATGTACAACATGTATGCATTATATTACATAATTACAGTTACAATACAGAGTTAAAAAAACTATTTACAATTAATTAAAAATTTTCAATAAATGTACCACCCTCTTAAGAATTAGGTTTTCATAATATATTTCTTTTCCTGTTGGTTTTACACCTAGACGTTCCAAAATGTTACATTCATTTCCAATCCTAATAGGTTCAATTTTTTTACAACTAACAAAAAAATGGGCCATATTGTCATTTTCATCACAGAATTTACATTTGTCACAATCCATTATGTTATATCTTTTAAGTATGCCCCCATGAGGGTAGATTTTATGGAGTATCTTCCATTGTAATTCTAAGAGAACTGTTTCTCTAGTACATTTATAAAGTGTTTCCCATACATCTTCGAGGATATGCTCACCATCATAATACAATTCAACCTTTCTTTCTTGTACCAATTTTTTCCTAATAAATTTAGCAGTTATTTTATTAACTTCAATATTTCTGAAGTAAAGTTTGTCATTTACATGATCATCTTCACAATTATACCATCTAAAGATGTGTTCTGGTTATAGAGCATTTCGTAATGCCTGATACTGTAAAAATACTTGGCCATTTCTACCTACTATGTTCGCAATATCATCATATGGTATCAATGCTTTGTTTCTAGTAACATCCTTAATGTATATCAGTTTTTTCTCAATCCAATTAGAAAAATACAGAGTTTTATTAGCTCTTACAATATTGTCATTATTCCATAATATATACTCATCCTTATAATAACAATATTTTATCCACATTTTTAATATATCAGCATAAAATTCAGAGCAGTTCTCTGGCTCGACTTTCTGTTCTTGTTTAATTGCCAGAGTTGAAATGTGTTTTGCGACCACAGTGTTTGCAATTTTGACATTAACAAATCTTAGGCGGCTTAGGTTTCCACTGATGCTGCAATTTTCCTGAAGCAGTTGCGAGCAGGTTGCAGGGTGGGTCTCAATGTTCCAGGCATTGTTCTTCCAAACTATAGAAACTTTATTATTTTGAGGTGATTCAGCACAAAAATGGCCAATATTAATACATTTTAATCAAACTTATTGGATAGATTAAAGCAATTTTTGTATTTTACATTTAAAGTTGATACTTTTGAGACCAGTTTTGCATTTCCCGTAGATTCTCTTGCTACTCTTGTTTTGTTCCACACTGCATTAGTAGTGTAAGTTTATTTCTATATTGTGAGTTTTACATGTCGGATTCAATTCACATCAACTTTTGCATTTGCCATGATGATAGACTTTGGAGTACAAAGACAAGTAGAGTGTACTGCCCTATCAACTAGAAGTTATGGAGTTTGAAAATGTTTTCAGTGGTCTCAGATTAGATGAGAAGCCTCTGTCTTTTTGGTTGTTACTTTTTACAACATATGTTTGATTTAACATCAGTCCATGCTTGATGCTTTGGTATATCAGCAGGAGTGGTTTAAATTCATTGGTAATGAAGGATGGTTTTGACATTACACTGCAATAATGCAATAAAAATAGGGATCAAAACCAGCTATACCAGCGCATTGTCTGTTCCCCTCCTGAAAATTCCTTGTACATAAAACTAGGTGCTGGTGCCTTGAATTCCGAACCTTGTTCTTCTATCACATGTTTCTTAAACCAGTTGATTTAGCCCTAAACTAATTCAATACTCACTCAAAGGATTTGGCTTTGTCATTTAGTGTAATGTTTATTATCTTCTGTTCAAGAACTCCCAGAATCCCCAACATTGTTTTTGCTTGGTCCATATTGTCTATTATCACAGATGAATACCTGTTGTCATGATCCCTGGCCTTCTGAAATATTGGTCAGACAGTTTTCAATCAACTCTATTCCCCCAACAGTTTTTTGTTGTTTTTAACAGTGTCTAATACCCCTTTTCCCCCACCATTAGAGAATAAGTGTAGATGCACTAGAATCTAAGGTTTCTTAGAAATTACTGGGAAGCTGTTCACCTATGAATCTAGTGCATTTGATAGTAACTGAGAGGGAAGTAGAAATTGGAGAACTGAACCATTGTAAGTAGAATATGTGTGGCAAGTTTGGGTCTCTCAACATCCTGTTTTTATAATTTTCTCAGAAAGTTCTGTAAATCTCCATAGATGTCCCCACAATCTACAAAACCCAAAATCCTATCCTATGTTAATCAAATAATAGTGAAATGTCCTTGTATTTGGTTTTTCTGGTTTTACAGCTTATATGAAACATCACGATGCCTGATGATGAAGACAAATAATGAATATATTTGTGTACTTTTTGACAAAATGTAGTTGGATATAGTCAAGTGAGGATCAAATTGAGAAAATGTGAATTTTGAATTTCCCTCCTTTTTCACTTAGTTACTCTAAGAGTCCCTATAACCCAGAAGCGATAGGAACTAAATGTAATCTTGGTGAAATCAGTTACTTTTAGGTTACAATTGGGATACCTTTTTGACTGATCCTGTAGAGAACAATTATCTTATCTTAAATGTAGAGATATTCATACCCTCTTGTGGCATATCAGTTTCCAATATTGCACTTGTAATAAGTTGGGTAATGTTGGCAGCATTTTTTATCTGGTTTGTTAACTCATATGATTCATTCTGCATCTTTCACATTTTGCTTCATGTGATCAGCGAGATTATGTTGCTGATTTTGATTTGGGTACATCTGGCACATATTGATATTCAGTCAGTGTTATGGTCTGAATATTGACTGATAGTGAGTTATAATGTTGTATGAGTATTAAGTTGGGTGAAATTGTGAGTATAAAGTACTTAAAAGTAAATAATATTCGAAAATTGTTCTCATGACCAAAAGACATTTCTTTCAAGAATAATAGTATGTAATAAGACTGTCTAATTTGTTTTACCTTCAAGCTTTTTTGAAAAACTTTTGAAATAAATGAAGAACAATGTGAAGTGTCTTGTTAACCAAAGATTCAAAGTGGTTACTTGGTCTTACTTTGAATGTTCTTTCTTCTTGGCTATAAAGTTGAAAATGCAATGAACTCTTCAATAAAACTGTTTGAAACCCAAAAGTCCTTTGGTCATGGAATTAAAGGGGAAATAAATAAATACTGAAGTTGATTAACATGACAATAAATAAATGATAAACGTTATCGCCTTATCTAATGATTTATAAAATTTGTTTGAGCCACACTAAAAAGATAGATGAAGAATGTGCCCTGTAACCAATATTTGTTGCTAATCATGAAAAATATTTTCTGGGATAGACTGAATGAATTGATTGAAGTAAGGTTAGCATCCCCTCATATTTAAGATATGACTTAATTGAATGATAGTAGATGCTTATAAATTCCTGAATATTCAAAATGTGCTTTATTTATATTTTGTATAAAATACTTATAGTTCTGGAAATATTGCTTCTGCAATAATACAAGTAAAAGTATGTAAATATATTATGAATACATGAGCGGCATTCGTTGAACTATATTGGCATTTTGTAACCTGAGCAGAGCACAATCAAAGTGCTCAAATATGTGCTCTACACACTCATTGGATAAATTAAAGTAATTTTTGTATTTGACATTCAAGGTCGATCTTTTTGAGACAAATTTTGCATTTATTGATTCTCTTGCTACTTTTTTTTCCACGTTGTCTCTGTAGTAAAAGTTATTAAATATTTCTATATTGTGTATGCATTGTCTCTAAAGTTATCAGGACATTTTTACATATGAGATTCACACCAACTTCTGCATTTGCCATGATGATAGACTTTGGTGTACAAACACAAGAAGAGTTTACTGCCCTATGAACATACTTTTGGATTTTGAAAATGATTTCAGTGGTCTCAGATTAGATGAAAAGCCTCAATCTTTTTGGTTGTTATTTTTTTTGAACATATGTTTGACTTAACATCAGTGATTGCTTGGAGCTTTGGTAACTGGGTTTTTATAATAGAAAATTACTACAAACTCAAATAATGTGAATTTTGAAAAGCACATAAATACAAGGGGTTGACACAAAATAAGTGAAATGAGATATATTGTCAACGCAAATATCTGAAATTATTGAAATCATTTGCCCTCTCGCAATTAAGAAATACAATATAAATAATATTAAATATAAACACTAAATTTCTTTTGTGAAAAAATTAGCTGCAGCAAGTGAAACTTCGGGAGATGATATTCACTGAAGATGACTGAGCAATGGTCCAACAGCCCATGGTCATTTCACAACCAGTCAGCATGAAATCTATGCACTGTTGAGGCGCATATATTCCATGCTGACCTTGTGTCTCATTTCCATGAAACAGTGGCCCATTTATTGCTTCGTCATTGAGATGAACCCTGTCACCACAGAGATGACTCTCAAAAGAGAGAGTCATCCCTTTCACCCATTGGAAAGTGTACCTGTACTCTTTGTGCTCTTCACAAAGTGCACGGAGATGGTGGTTGCCCATCTAAACCTGCTCACAGAAGGAGCCTACCCAATTTGCGCTAAGATGTTTGTTGGCAAGTCTGGACTGAATGCCCCTACGAAGACTAAGCTAAGCTTTCAACTGCAGTTCAGTCTCCAGGGTACTGAAGAACCTGGTTGCCACTTGTACCCCTGGGCCTTCTCCGCCCCCATGATGCATGCTGCACCAGATCACTGAGATCATTATCCCCAAAATTAATTTTAACTACTTGTGGATTGAAACTATCCATAGCATGCCTAAGTTTGGGGGTAATGCCCTCAATGTCCCCCTTTGGTATTTGTCAGGATAGTAAAATCTTGTGAGGATTTTCGCATGCTAAAAATACAAGATGGTGGTTGTGTTGCCCTCTCCATTACATCCTTCTCTCACTGCCTCCTCTCCTTCCCTTCTTAGCCCTGGAAAGGTTTAACAATACAGCTTTCAAAAGAAAATCATTTGAAAAAGATGCATTTTAAATGACTGTATAAGTAAATGGGTATGCCAAAATCTAAAACAAATTATTTCTATTTAAATCATATTTTTAATAGGTTTGATGGCAAAATACATTACTTTTGCAGTGTAACCAACAACCAAATCTCTCTCCCAAAACTTAATTTTAACTACTTGTGGATTGAAACTATCCATAGCATGCCTAAGTTTGGGGGTAATGCCCTCAATGTCCCCCTTTGGTATTTGTCAGGATAGTAATATCGTGTGACGATTTTCGCATGCAAGAAATACATGATGGTGGTTGTGTTGCCCTCTCCATTATATCTTTCTCGCACTGCCTCCTCTCCTTCCCTTTTTAGCCCTGGAAAGGTTTAACAGTACAGCTTTCAAAAAATATTGTTTGAAAAGTTGCATTTTTAATGAGCATGTAAGTAAGTTTTATAAGTAAATTGAAAAGTAAATGGGAATGCCAAAATCTGAAACAAATTATTTTTATTTAAATCATATTGTTAACCCTTTGAGTGCTGATTTGTTTCATATATACATTTCCCTCAGACTGAGTTGTTTGGAGAATTCCGCGTGCTACCAACATAGTTTACGACATTCGATGCCAAATCCTCTATATTTAGAGTTAGGGGGTGATATACATATCAGATTAAAGCTTCTTAGACCAGCTATCTATTCATGAACATAAAACATAATATATGTTACCTTGTAAGTATTATAGCGTTGCAGGAAGTGATGCATTGTGGGTGATGTGTTACATTAATGATTATTGATATAAGTACACTACACATGTAATAATCTTACGAATAAAAGTGCAAACTTTGTCTAAGTGTGTGTACACCTCAGAACAATGTCATGAATGTGACTATGAAATCTCATGTAGCATGTAAAGCAGTAAATTGTAATAAAGGTAGTGTGTTGATTTGTTTGTACCTTATTTAATGTATACATTTTCAGTTTGAGCTAAATGTGGCACATCTATGCAGAATTGTTGATGACATCAGGAATGGTTAGATCAAACAAATCATTTGATCCATCTGCATTGCTATCAGTCACATTTTATGCTCCTCTTTTGAGCTTTACCATTAAGTGTCATTCTGTTCATTATGAATAATGAAAAAATCACAACTTGATTACATGAAATAACATTTGGATTGAGACTGATTCTGAAGGGTACCCATAATTATGCTGCCCCCCCCCCCCCCTCTTCCCTAGGTGGGGTGACCACACCTATACATTGAGGAAAGTATGTAAATTTATGGTATACCTTTCTGGGTATGATTCATGGTCTATACATTTTCTCATATTTATACAAATTAATGTTGTCATTATTGATAATTTGAGACTAATGTCAAATGGTTGGGTTTTATACAGCCCCATTGTGGCATAAATGTGAAATGTCACTATCTGAACCTTTTTTTCAGGGTGAGCAACTATGTAGGAAACTCTCTGTACACAGGAATTAGAATATTTTGTAGATCCTGGCCATTTGACAATCAGGCATCCATAGCCATCTTTCCTGATTCCCCCTCCTAAGAATGTACTCCATTAGAGGTTGGCAGGACAAGGCAATTAAATGCTAATGTCCTTGAAACAATCTTCTTGTCTTTAATTTGACCACACTTTAAATATGGTACAATACTGTATGATACTTCTACTCAGACTGTCCTTAACATATTGCACAAACTATTTAACAAGCTGCCCTTGTATGCAAACACTTACCAATATTCTCTTATCAATGCATCAATGGCACAATTCACCAGCTAATGCATTTAACAAAAATGGCCCATAGAACACAAATTTGCCTGACTGAGCTAAATAGTTAGAACATTGTTTATGAAAAGCTTTATTAAAAGCTGAATTTACTAAACCTTCATTAGTCATAGTTGATTTTACAAGGTACTAACTCAATTTGAAAATATATATTTCCCATGAGCTTTCTTATATCAGCAGTGGCTTGGATATTACTTTTGAGGTAAAAAGGATCATATGACATTGTACCCTTGAACACTGATGTTGGCTAGATGTTTGTCCTTTTTGTCCTCATATTCTGTCATTATTAGCCTTTTATACTTAAAACTTTGATTTGTCAGGTATTTGCAAATATTTTTCATTAAAGCTCTGAGAATATTATTTTTCTTTACACACAAAAATCTTTATGCACAATGCATTCTATCTAAATTTTGAAGTCTGAAATTGCCTTTTTATTACTTCCATTTTCGTCTATAGTTGCCTTGGTTATAAAGCTGATTGCAGGCTCTATTGGAGAACCTATTGCTTTTGGGTTATCGAAGTAGGCATGTCTTCCTTTACATATCAGTCCATGCCTACTATAGTTTATTGTAGGCTTTATTGGTAGATTTGTCTTCATGAATTAATGGAGCAAAACTTTGGGTGTTCCTGGCTGAGAAAGCACTACCATTTGAGTCATAGTTGAAGGCTGTATCCAGTTGCTTTATTTTGGAAGACGTATCAACTAATTTTTGCAACATGGATCTCAAGAACTGATTAACCTCTGGCCAAGCATTTTGTCTTCTTGCCCAGTTATGTGTCTATTTAGAGGTGATTTTTTCACTTCATGTCTCTTGTTAAAATTGTTAGATACTAGCATGATTGTGAATGTTATTGACAGAACTTACCTTTGCATAAGTGTTGCTATAGTATTGTGTGCTGCACATGCCTGGGAAATACCTGATGCGTCATAGTGTGTTTTTACATTTTGGCTGTGGGAAAGATGTCTGGTGACCAAAGTTGCCTCATTTTTTCCTGACAGGAGGCTCTCGATTAATATGCGTCTCTCAGTTGCAGTGACGTTTGTCATTTTGTACTTCTGGCATATTCGTGAAATGTTTTTTTCAGTTTATCTGAATGTCCCAAAAATAGATAGGGTGAATTTGATACTGGACGTATGTCTACAATCAATTTTGCAGTTCCTAAATTAGATTTCACAGATTTCAAATTTTATTATTCTCTAAATCCTGTAATAATAATTTGTGTAAGTAACCATATGTACAGGGTGACACAAAAAATGTGTAGTAGGTATTTGGGATAGGGGAACTTCTGCTTCATCTTTGCTATTTGCAATTGTATCTAGCAGTGTTTGAATCTGTGCTATAAGGTGATCACAAAGCTCCGACTCAGGTCTGGGGCTGCCTTCTGGTCTACACTGACGGCAACCCCGTTAGAAGGACGTGAGGCATCAGAGAGAGCTTTACTGGTCTCAGCTACTACCTGTGTGTCCTCGTAACACAATACCTCGTTTTGGGTCTACCGACGCCCCAAAATCGAAATCCAGGTGAGGTGGGGAATGAAGAGGACTGATATCACTGCATGTCAGGAAAATCTCTGACTCTAGTTGAAGTGGTGTAGCTAGCTGGGGGAGTGTGGGGGGATGTGTTCAGGGATACTTCCGACTCCAGTTGGCAGGTTGGGATGCCTGCCAACTGTGCGGCAGTGGTTAAAATACTTGACTCCACAGGTGGTACAGCAACTACTATATCTGGAATGGCTGGTGGATTGGTTGATTGGTCATGTTTGTATGGGTTCTTCCTTTTGAGGTGAGAAATCAGTTTCTTCCCCATTTTTTGCATATATATCTCCAAAATTTTTGGCATATGTCTGGGGAATACTCAGTTTGTTTTATGTTTTCCTTATGTTTCCCCCCAATTTTTGTTGTTACATGTTAATGTGAGCTGGAGGCAGCACATATATGAAAATGACATGGTAGATCATTTTTTATTTATTTTTTTTTTTTTCATTTATTTATTCAGCAAGGTTTAGAAGATACAATATAATTAAATCAGTTTTCACATGTGGCACGGCAGAAAAGCTGGATTTCTTAGATCATCTCCCTCAGATGCAGTATTTCCATCTTCAAGATAAGAGGGTTTGTTCCCTGATATGCTGGGTAGATCACAGGGTCCCAAATATGGTTTCAATTGATTATGATGGGCCGTCTTCTTCTCATTAGCGAATCGTGACACCTCAAACACTAGATCAGACAACTTTCCCAGGATCATGAAGGGTCCCAACCATTTATTCTGCAGTTTTGGGGTTTTTTTTTTATTAATCATCTTTATTATATTCCATAAAATACAGCTGTACAAACTTAAACAATTGCCAAAGTCTAGTGACATTGTCGGCAATTTTGCAGTTTTGGTGATAGGCCTGGCTTCCCTACTGTAGAGTGCAACAATACTGTACTTGTGCAACCATCTTGTGCTTATTGTGGGAAATCTTGTTGTCATAATTCTTTTGTTGACTCGCTGATTTCAGGAGATAGTGTCAGGCAACTTCCTCTACCATCCAGGGAGCATTTTGCGTGTCTGACACATATGTTTGATACACTACTGGATCATGACCTGGTGCGGGACCAAGAAACATTTAGAACGGCTTATTTGAACTAAAGCGACTCTAATGTTGTAATTTAAACAACAAAAAGGGAAACTTCAACACACAGTTGCATAAGTACATGCTATATTAGTTAAAATCATAATTTCAGAAACATTTTTCGATGAAAATCAGATCAGCAAAAACAACCTATCTGAAAACACAAGGGACACCATCAAGAGTTCCTTTCTGTTCGTCACATCCAAGATCTTTCATTGTTTGGTTAACAAGTACATCATCTGTCAATTGGTTGTTGGCCTTTTTGTTCAACAATTGGAATAAGAAAATAAGTTAAAATTAAGGCTGGGTAAGGCGAGCGTTAGTATATGAAATAAATGTCAAACAATAGTTGT